CTGTCTTCCTTGTAGGATGTCTGGACACTAGATCAGAACTGTGTGAGCTAGCCACTGAGACTGTGAATTTCTGTGGAGCGGTACCCCGTTCCTCTCTTTGTGTCTCCTTTGAGGATCTGAGGGTAGGAATTTAGTAGGACTGATTTGTGGAACTGTAGTGCGTACCAGCTACTACTCACTAAGCCACTTTGCACAAAGTTTTCTCAACTGCGAAGCATGTTACCTGTCTTGATGAGTGGCGTGAGGGTCAAGTGAGCTACAGTGTTCTATGTGATTGAATCATTCAGGAGATTTGCAGAGTTGCATTGCTATTCCTGAGCAGGGGAAGTTGTTGCTTTCTCATGTTGCATGGGTGGACCAGTCAAAGTTCCTGGCAGTGACAACCATACCAACGCTGAGGAGCTGGGATTTCAGAGCCTGATGGGCACATTCGGTGCAAGTCCCTTTGCACTTAGAATGTCAGGAAGCCTGAGACTCCAGCCCGTGCTGTCTGACAAGCTCATCACACATGCCTAGAAATGTGCAATCAGGCTGCCTCAAACATGTTTTTCCTGAGGCAGCATGCACTTGGAGGTGCCTGAAAGGATTTAAAAAATATTTGCTTTTTCCATGACAGTTGTAAAAACACTTCTCTGACAGCATGGGCAAACTGCACACATGATCCGTGCTTATTTGATATGTTTGTTTCGTTTCTGAATATTGTTGACAGAACCCCAAAATGAGATTTTCATGATGGTGCACGTAGCTCAGGTCTTCCTGGTTGCTAAGGTTGAGTTTAACGGTTTACAGAAAAGTAGGTGTGGCTGTACCTCCACTAGGGTTTGTGTCTTTCTCTCCTGATTGGAGTGGGGTTGCAGGTTTGGTGGCTAAAGACTGCACAAGAGAAGTGACCCTGTCACCCGTCACCTCCTAGGAGAGGGGCATCGTGTTACCGTATCTGGCTTATCACTGGTGACATTAATAATCGTGGTCACTTGGCAATGGTACTATTTTAACCCTTTCTCCATGCTTTCTGAAATTCACCCAGCACAGGAGTGAGAGGATCAGTTGCCTAAATTGTCTGGAGTTCTATGGAACGTTTGTGTCTTCTGTGTCCCAGCTTCTGGGAATCCAGATTCCTTTTTCACTTAGCCACTGTTGCACATCAAATTCCAAGCACTGGGTGTACCCCAGGTGGCCAGGATGTCACCATGTCCATGCTCTCTCTGTGGACAGGACTCTGACACATTTATGCCTTGTCATGTACACACTTAGCTCTGTAGTTATTTCTGGATGCTCCTATGTCTGTGTTAAACTACATATGCATTTGTGAACAGAAAGAAAATTAGCTGTGTGGGCAACCACCCCAGGGGCTGCCACGCCAGCCTTACAAAGTGACTGCAGGTCGCTGGGGCTGGAGGCTGCAAAGGCAGCTGCTTCTTCCAGCCCTGTGCCAGTGTGGGGGTTGGGGGGCTTCATGCAACTTACCTGAGCAAAGGTAAGATGTTATCACCCACTATCTGTGTGTGGCTTAGAATCCCCTTAGCATCTGGAATCTCTGGCTGGGTGTGCCATTTCAAGGGCCTCTGTATGAATTTTTGCATGGGTTTATTTGTCTTCAAAGCAGAAGCCCATCAAGCCTTGTCCTACTGCAGTCCCTTCCCACAGTCTGCAAGTCTAGAGGGTGGGCAGGATCCCCAGAGGGCACGGCACCTGAGTCCTGCCATCTGCGTCCTGATACAGACATTGCTCATGTCCACAGATTTCTCTACATGGTTTCCTTTTAAACAACCTTTTTTTATCACCTGCTGTCTCATGGGGTTGTGCAGCCAGGTGTGCCTGGCACCATCACCTGGTGAGAACCTAGTGTGCCCACCTGGGGCATCGCCTTATGCCCCCAAATTGGTGCATGTTTTAAATCCTGGGAGAACAGAAAATTTGCTCAATGGCACAGTTCTTCATTCTGCCATTCAGATGTGGCTCTTTGAGTTTCTAAATATGAGGGATATATGATTCTCTTCCGGAAGCGTGTAGACAACTGGGTACAAATTCAGCAGCTGGAAAGCAAGCATAGTGTTGAGTTGTAGAAACCCACAGGCTTTGGAGGTTGTTATGGTTTGAGAACTGGTGGTCAACTTAATGCCAGCTGGATTACATCAGCATGCATTGAGAGAAGATGCTCCACCTGAGGAGGGTTGCCAGGATAAATAAGTGGAGAAGAAGAGAGGTGTTGGAAGGGATTGAGGTGTGAAGGAGGCATTGTGGGTTCTCTTACGAGTTGCTGTGTGAGCTGTTGGTTCTCCTGGAAAAGCTCTGGTCCTCACATCGAGCACTGCTTCCTGGCTCCGGAGGGGAAGACATGTGCTGCCTGGTCTCCAGGATGAACTCGTCACGCTGCTTCCTGGCATGTAACCAACTGTGCTTGTCGTCAGAGGAGCTCGGGGCCTCCGTGTCACTGAGGACAGCTGTGGTGCCTTTCAGGACAGCCCCGCTCTTTGTTGTGAGTGTGACTTCTCGGCTCCAGTGTAGAACCCTCATCCCACTAGCACAGCTCCTTCATCCTGCTGGCATAAACTTTCTGGCTTCCACCGCTGACCCTTGGGTCTTTGTGGCACAAATCCGTAAAAGAGACTGGCGTGAGTCCTTCTTGTGGGCTCTGGACCTCCAGTTGGACTCGTGGAGGCGTTGTCCTGAGCTCTGGGTTTTTATCTGGACTCATGTGGGACATTGCCGTGGGGTTTAGACTCTTGACTAAATAATCTGTGTCGTTGGTGTTGCGGATAGATTTCCTGCATTCTCCTGTGTTAACTTCCGGTGACCATTATGAAAATATTATAAACTTCATGTCCTGATCTGAATTGTTCTGTGTACAACCCCTGACTACAACAGAGGTAGACAGAGCTGGATTCCTATCTGTGACTGTGCCATTGAAAGAGTCACTTTCTCCACATTGTTTTGTCTCAGCCTCAGGCCATGCTTCTCTAACGCAGAGAGAAACGGTGGCACCCTCTGGGGTAGAATTAGTGAGGTGAGATGTCTCTTTCCATCTATAGGTGAGCAAGGAACTTTAACCATTGTGGCTGCCAAGAAACCATCCTTGTGCAGCCTTGTGAGGGAATTCATCAGCTTGTTTCTACTCCTTTGACTTGAGCAGTGAATGCTTATTGATTCATACATAATATGTTTTATATATTCCCATGTACTAATGCTTTTACTATATCATATAAATCCATCATATATAATTTATATACATGCCTATGTATATATGTGGAATAGGGAGGGGGAGGGGAAGGGGAGGAGGAGATGGTACATTTGTGAAAACTCTATGGCCTTGACTGAGGAGAGTGACCAGACTGTGCTTGGCATGTTCACGTTCCTCACGTGGCTCTGCTATTGACAGCTTGAGAGAACACTGCAAATCAGCTAAACCTCCCACTTATTGAAAGAGACTTCTCTGAAGTCAGAATAGCACGCATGTCAGATCATTACCCTCAAAGTGATGTTGAAATGCTCTCATAGGAGGAGGACGTTTAGCTTTCTTTGGAGCTGGCATAGAAACTACGCACTATGGCATGATTTTGTGAATGAATTTTTCTCTGGTGTGTGTGTGTGTGTGAAAGTCCACCATGGAATGCTCTTGCTGATGACAGAATTCAGTTTAGCGTTTGAGTGCAAAACACTGTCTTTTAGCCACGAATTCTTGCTTTAAGATCCCTGAAACTAATGTTAATGAAAATTTGACTTTCTAAATGTAGATGACATTCCTGTTTGCTGTGAGTCATGCATCATATCTCTACTAAGAATTAATGTTACTTTTTAGCTTCATCAATCATTTAACTCTGATTCGTGCCTCCTACCATTTTTTTTCCTGAATCTAGTTGTTTTCTTTTCCACTGATGATCTTCAGCCTGGCTGCCTTTTTTCCAACCTAACTTTTAAAATTGCTTAGATGGCTCTAGACTATGGAATAAAAACAATGAATCGGTTTGCCCAACCATCCCCATGCATAATCTGTGGGACACTGACAACCTGTGAAATTGTCTACTGACACTGATCTACTCTGGGTACCCCACTGTAGACCATCTTGAGACCTCTCCTTGCTTTATTTAATTATATTGTAATTGCTGTCTGTGTGCAAAGCTTGTTTCCTTAACCAGCCATCAAGAGATAGCTTGGAGCTCAGGTAAACTTGATGACAATGGCCTCATTTTGTGGCTTCTTAAAGGCACCTTGGATAATCATTCTGTGCACAGGACACTGGGAATTTTGTCCAACGGCATAGGGCTGTTTCTTCTTGTCCTTTGGCTCTTCTAAATTAGGCGACTGAAAGCAACTTGAGTTTATTGCATTATATTTCTGGAAGTACAAAAAGCAGGTCTTCCTGGTCTAAAAAGCCAACGTATTTCCACAGCTCTGCTCTCTGAAGACTCTACTGGAGAACCTGCTTTTTCCAGCTTCTCGAAGTTTCTTGCTTTCATTTGCTCAGCCTGTTCTACTCAGTGTTGAAAGCCAACAGAGTTCCACCTTCCATTCTCTGCCTACGGTGACAACTTTGGCTTCTCTGACCCTGTGTCTTCTCCTCCCTCTTTCCCTGATAAGAACACGGTGGTGCCATTGGACCCACTGTTGTAACCCAAGATCAATTCCTGGTCTCAAAATATTTCATCTCATTCTCAAAGTTCCTTTTGCTGATAAGGTCCCCAGAATATGAATGTGGATATTTGACTCTCTTACTTAACACATCTGGTGACCAGTAGAAATAAAATGTGTACTGTCAACTTGAAAGTCATGGATATGAGTTGTTGTGGCTTTGGGATTTGAGGTTTCTTACTTGCAAAATCATAGGTCACAGTCAGCATGGTGCTGATTGTGTCTATCATAGTGCTGACTGTGTCTTTTTTTTTTTTTTTTTCTACTAAAACATGCACTGCATTGGTTTGGATGAACTCATTCAATCCATGTAATTGGAGTACTTGGAAGAGTTTGAACTCTCCCTGTTATCTCTCTCTTGGTAATTTTAGGAGGAAAAGCAAACAATTGGGAAGGAGGTATTCGGATACCAGGCATCCTTCGATGGCCAAGAGTGATACAGGCTGGCCTAGAGATCGATGAGCCAACAAGCAACATGGACATATTTCCTACGGTAGTCAAACTTGCTGGAGCATCACCGCCCCAAGACAGGTACTCTGTGTCAAGGTGGTTGGGGTGGTCACTCTCTGTCTCACAAGCTGACGTGGTCTCATTTGCCTTTGGCTAGACTTGATCTCTGTGTCTTGCTGCGGGTGTTGACTAACGTAAACCAAAGCAAAGCATCCTTCTGTCTATCCCGTCATCCCTGTAGGAAACTCAAAGACACTGAATGTTTTAGGAAATGTATTTAATCTATGCATACATAATATGTGTACCTGTTTATGGGGAAGGGTAAAACCATTCCATACACGTACACAACGTGCAGCGGTCAGACCAAGTTAGTTAACAGTTCCATTCCTGCAACCATTTATGAATAACCTTTGGGCTCTTCTGGCTATTCTGTACTGTGTCATAAATTATGGTGGGCCAGAGCTGTGTTAGCTTCTGCAAGCAATCTCTCTCCTGTTTCCTTATTCTCCTGTCTCTGCTAGCTAACGTGAGTTTTACTTCCCTCCGTCCTTTTATAAATGAAAGCTTAGCGACATTCTGTTTCGGTACCTACCTACTGAGGCAAAAAGATCTCAAGTTCACATGCAGCCTGGGGACAGCTTAGCAAGACTCTGTCTCAGAGAAAAACTTCAAAGGAAGTTGTTAAAACAGAGTGTGTGGGTAATCTCTTAATCGCATTTTTCTCTCATGACACGCTCTATTAAAATTATCACTGACCTCCCTTGCATAGTATGTGTGAATGGTTTTTCCCCCAAGTAGGAAAATGCAAAGTTCAGAAGAAGACAGAGGCAAGGTGAAAATCCATAAAGGGAAATCCTGCCCTTGCCCTGACTCCATTGTACCCCTAATGGAGCCCACTTTATCTTGCCTTCACCCTTGTTGGAAAAGAAAGCCACCCCGTTCTTCACTGGACTCAGGTATTTGCGGTGTGGGCTTGTGTTCCCATTACAACACTCAGGGTTGGAGTCTTTCCTTTTTTCTTGGTTTCTTCTATAGATCTCCTTGAAGCTTATGGTAGTAAATTACCCCACAGTTATTATGTCAAGACCGGTCCAGCTGTTAGGTGTTGTCATTCTGCTAGAGACAGCGTATATTAGAGAACAGAAATCTGCTTCCAGAGGTCTTGTGGGAATAAAGTGTTTGTACGATATCTTGTGTAAAACATTTTGGCACCCGCACTGGGTCACATTCTTGTGTACTTGTCCTGGAGGCTTTGAATGTCCCAGGCAGTGTATATGACACAGCCTCACTGTTCTCCTCATGGGATATTCATCAATGCCTGGAAACATTTTTGATTAGTCCATCTCAGGATGCAACCGTCTCCCAGGAGCTAATGCCATAGATGCACTGAACATCCTGCAGTGCACAAAACAACCCATACAACAGTGAATTGTCTTTAAAAATGTGTCTGCAGAGCTGAGGCAGAGAAATTCTGCTCTCAAACTCACTGTTCTATGGAAAAAAAGTGGTTATAATACAAACGCCCTTGAAATCTTTATAATAAAAGCTTCTAGACCATCTCTGCATATCCTTACCCATCTATAAATTTGATCAATAGATATTTTCCCTTTGAGCACAGCTTTACATCTTTCCTGCTAAGGTGAGGAGAAATCAGCTTTGTTGTTTTGTTTGTTTGTTGAGCATTGTGTTAACTTTGTGTATCTCAGGAGAAGAAATTTATTCAGGGAGAATGACCCGAGTTCTTAGCAGGATGGCTCCACTTCTTCTTGGGTGTTTAGTTGGAAGGAGAGAATTTCTGTTGAGAGGACAGCTCCGATCAGTTAAAACTTGGAGATGAGAAAACCTCAGACCCAGAGTTTCTACTTTAGTAAGAACAGAGGCAATCCAGCATTTCTACGTGCATCAAAGGGGAGAGACATGGTGCAAAGGAAGGATTTTTGCTTTGAGGAGTCTGAAGGCTGGAAGAGAAAATAGCTCACTGGATGGACTCCCTGGTGTGGCTACCTGAGATCATCGCCAGTAGGGATTTCTTTCTTCAGATGCACTTCGTTGTTTCGTGTTCACTGAGTACCCTGGCCTATTGAAAAGCTTCCTGTAGCCACCCTGACCAGGCATGTCCAGAAAACTTTGTCTACCTCCCACCAGGGTTTCCAGTTAGGCTCGTTCTGGAAATAGTGCAGGGCAACTTTTTGCGTGTGCTAGTAAGTGCAAGCAGTTGGGTTTTGAAGGAGGAGAAGGAGGAGGAGGAGGAGGAGGAGATGGAGGAGGAGGAGGAGAAAGAGATGGAGGAGGAGGAGGAGGAGATGGAGATGGAGGAGGAGGAGATGGAGGAGGAAGAGATGGAGGAGGAGGAGGAGGAGATGGAGGAGATGGAGGAGGAGGAGGAGGAGATGGAGGAGGAGGAGGAGGAGATGGAGGAGGAGGAGGAGGAGATGGAGGAGGAGGAGGAGATGGAGATGGAGGAGGAGGAGGAGGAGATGGAGGAGGAGGAGGAGATGGAGATGGAGGAGGAGGAGATGGAGATGGAGGAGGAGGAGATGGAGATGGAGGAGGAGGAGATGGAGGAGGAGGAGGAGGAGATAGAGGAGGAGAGATGGAGGAGGAGGAGATGGAGGAGGAAGAAGAAGAAACACCTGGATGTATTAACTTATTAAGATGAGAATCCTATCTTTGGGCTCATTTTTGCAACCAGACACGGTATTTTCATAGCAACATGACCCTTTCTAACTTTGGTAGTAAAGTATTACAACAAGGTATAATTGGTTAACTTTTTTTGAAAACATTAAATTCTGGCTGTAAACTATTCCATGGGGACGGGGGCAGGCAGAATGCTGCCACTGTGGCGAATCAAAGAGGTGAAGTCTTTTGCATTCTTGGCTCCTGAGTAAACTAAAGTGATTTGATCTTTTTTAAGGTAGGAAGAGAAGTGACTACCATAATGTGTAATGTGGCTCCTGCCTCACAGAGACTGGAAAGTCATTTTTAAATCCTCCCAGCAGCTTTGGCTCACGTGATGAGAGAGACTCTTTCACAGAGTGCTCTTCCAGTAAGAGAGCTGGGGTGGAGGAAGAGGAAAGAGGAGCAGGAGGAGGAGGAGGAAGAGAAGAAAAGGAGAAAGAGGAAAGGATTCTTGTTACTTAACATCTGTTCTGCAGAGTAAAACACAGCCATCTTCATGGGTAAAAAAAATCCCACCTTGATCTGTGCCTCTACTTGTAAATGGTCTTGTTTTCTACCCAAATGTGGCAGAGGGCTTAGCAGTGACTACTATAAACATATTTTTCTGGATTATGAAAATAACTTTCTGAATAGTTAGGATGCCGTCTTGCTTACTTCCCCCATTGCTCAGTCAAAATCCTGGTGATACCCCAAGTTAAAGGAGGAAAGGTTTATTTTAGCTCACGGTCTGTAGAGGTTTCAGTGCAGAGTCAACGGTTCCAAGGCAGGACGACATGGCGGAGGGGCATCACAGACGAGAAACAGTTCATGGAGGGAAAAGGCAGCAGTAACCAACCACAGCAGCTCCCCTTTTATGCCTCGTATTCTAACCGGGCTGCACACCCTTGGGGGGGTAGCACTGTCCCCCAGGGTGGGCCTGCCCATTATCCGCACCCTAACCTATGCCAAGCCAATCAGTGGACTAATGTAAGCACACACCCTTGATGCCTTCATCACACAGTCCATTACAATCCCCCACACACTAGATCCAGCCACCTCTGAAAAGCCCCACATGTACCTGCATGAGGCTTTGGAGAGATCTCTACACACAAGCAGCACCTGCTTCTTGGTTTATTACAGAAATATATGCCAGTGCTCTTTGATTTACAGTGGGATTCTTTCCTGGTAAACTCACTGCAAAGTGGAAATATCATAAGTCAGAAATGCATAGAATACACCTAAATTACCAACCACCCCAGCTTGGTCACACAGCTTCACGAAAGGGAACGAGCATCTTGCTTGATCCAGATTGTCTGCTGGAGGAGATGAATGTTATGTTATTATAAAGTCAGAATCTATTAAGATGCATCGTCTTTTAAGTTGGGCACTGTCCATACTTTGTGCGGAGCGTGTTCTCTACCAGCTGTGGCTATATGTAGGGCAGGTGGAGAGGACGTTCCAGGCAGAAGGAAAAGTGTGTTTTGTAGCTGCTGAGTGCTGAGACCATTCCTAACGGAGGAATGACATCATTGCAATCAATCCAAGAAGGACTGGAACGTGCACCTGTTACCTGAGAGCTGCCTGTGCAATATAAGCTGAGCGGGAGTTCTCTAATATGAGCTCTTGTTCCCATCACTGCAATAACGGCCAGCCAGGACCCTCAGGAGAGCATTCTTCCCTTCCCAGGGAAGAACAGTCACATAAAGAGACACTTTTGACCCCAGGAGTCAAGGGGAAACATCTGATTCATAGCACGGTTGCCTATGCAAACTCGCCATGATTACTTGAATTTATCTGCAGCTCACACACCAATCAGACTACGTATTCTTATTTTCTGATGGACAGTGCTGTGTGTCTCATTGGCAATGGACTGACGTCTCTCCCCCTAAGCATGGCATTATTTAAAAAAATTTTTTTTTTCTCTACAAGCAGCATCAACGTGCTGACCTCTGGGCGATGGACAGAGCTCACTGTGGATCCCACACGTGTTTTAAAACCAGGTGTTTTGGGCTGGAGGTTTAGCTCAGCGGCATAAGTGCCTGCCTTGCAAGTGGGCAGTCGTGAGTTCGATCCCCGGTACCGATAAAAAGGAAAAACACACACACAAAAAAAAAAAAAAAAACCAGGTGTTTTGATAGCTCAGACACCCATTAAAACTCTGGTTCATGGGGGTCACTTTCTGTATTCCGTGGCAGAAATAAGCTTCCTTCTGACGGACCATGTTTCTGCAGTCCTGTTAAACAGCAGTTTTCCTCAGCAGTATGATTTATTACCTGCTTGTAGGAATATATATATATACTGTTTCCTACAGTATATAGGAAGAAAGAGAAAAGTTATATGCATTTGAAGGAAACTAAGTTTGCAGACTATACTTTGTTCTCCTTGAGTTAAAAAGTTTGCTTTTAAGAAGAAAAAAAATTATGAGACTAGAAATTCTTTTTAAATACTTGTATTGCTGTATATTACTTTGAGAGCCCTGGGTTTCGCGGTGGTATTGTCGTACGTGCGGATAATAGTTTAGGGCTGCATCCGCCCTCCGATCACCATCCGTACACGCTTTCTTTTTTCCCTTCCTCTTGGCTAACAGTTTCCACTCTAATTTGCTGTCATCTTTATGGCTTATGATGCCACATATAAAGGAAAACATGCCCTATTTATCTTGCTGAGTCCGGTTTCTTTTCTTTGATGGGACCTCTAGTTCCATCCATTTTGAATCTCATTTTTTTAAAATTAAATTTCTCCCAATGATCATGAGCATTTTAGCTATCATGTACTAATCAGAAAGCAGCACATTTGTCACCTCTGTTCTTAAATCGTGTATGGAATTTTGTTTCTGTCTGGGGACTAAAAGCAGATGTAAGAACCAAAGGTGCAGATAGGGTCCCAGAAAAGTGGGGGTCCCCTTGCTCTGGAGGAGTCAGAAGAGACGATCTCCTCTCCTGAATTCTCACTGTCACTATGGGGCGCTTCTGATGTTCTAACTGTCATTTCTGCCGGATTCCTCCCCTCCCTTCTGATTTCCTCCCATCCCGGTCAGCATCTCACATGCCTGAGCCTGGGGTCTTTCTCTAACAGCTTCTGCAAAGAACGAAGCACACGGCGTACCACTGCGGGATAGAAACAGTCTTTCAGCTGCGTCCGAAAGCAACAGTTTCTACCACGTTGCTTCTCTTCCTGCTGGTGGCTAACCGGATGTAGCTTGGTGCAGGAGCTGAGTCCGTCTTGTGGTCTTATTTTCAACAATTGAAGCTAGGATATTTTCAGTCTGTGGATGTCTGTGGGGGGCGCATGATGCCTAGGGAGGGCTGAGGCCAGAGAAGTTCTAAGCGACGGGGCCAGTAACGACATCGTGGATTTTTTTTAGTGATGCCAACATGTAAACTACAGAAAAGAACATTTCAGGGCCCTGGGAGCCCTGGCTCACCTAAGTTACAGAACCGTGCTAAGCGCCAAGTCCGGCACCTGGTCCTAAGAAATGGCCGGGATGCCTTGCTGTTAACCAGAGACTGAAGAGCCCCAAGTTTAATGCTATAAATCACTCAAAATAGTTCTCTGCCCCTCCCTTCAATGACAGTAGCCTATTGGCAGCTTATTTTGCTCCTTGCTGATCGGACATGTCTGTTTGCAGACTGGAAAGTTTTCCTCCTCTGTCTAGCCAGATGACCGGTAGTAGACGGCGTCTGTGTTCCTTTGGGAATGGTCATTCCATTCATAGGACGTATTCATTTGAATTGAGAAACTCTCTTTGACATCTGTCTGGCTCAAGGTGTCCCATCCTGTACGGTATCTTTCTTCATCCAGACTCTCAGGTGCTTTTCAGCCAACCACGAACTCACAGATAAAGCATTGCTTTTGGAAAAATAGCAATCTGCGAAGCAGATATGGAAGAAGTGGTCAGAAGGGTGAATGCTAAATTGTCTATGGAATCCTCTGGCCTCTTATGGGTCACCTCAGATAAATTCCTTGCACAGTCAGACCCCAGGCTCCTCTGCTCAACAATATAACAATAGCCCCTCAAGTCAGGGTGCATGCGGGGATGTAAAGAGTTACTGCACGAACACAGCCACAATCCACAATCAGTACCCGGTGCCTGGTCAGCCTGGGTTTATCTTTTCCGTGCGCCTTACTAGAATGAGACCCTGTAGCTTTCTCGTTTGCTGGGAGGATGTTTTCAGACAATCATGATGTGTATGGTTGATTCAGTGGCTGATTTATCATGCAGGATCATAGACGGACGGGACCTGATGCCCCTGCTACAAGGGAAAAGCCAGCGCTCCGCCCACGAGTTTCTCTTCCACTACTGCAATGCCCACCTGAATGCTGTGCGCTGGCACCCACCACACAGTGAGTACCAAGACTTTTCTGTGTTTCTTATGCTTTTTGCAGTGTCTGTGCCATGCGGAGAGATGAAATTGCAAGAGCACTTGTTCTATAGAGGCTGCTGGATGCTTAAGACTGTGAATGTCCCTTGCTTGATTCGCTCTCCTTTCTCTCCTCGAAGTTGGTTGTGCATCCTTCCCTGGACCCTCCTGCAAGGCCACCTCCTCTGCCTATCTATAGACCAGTCTCTTATCGCACTGTGAGAGAATAAATAAATAAACGCATGAATGGACGAACGATGTCATGTAAATGTGAGCCTGACTTCCTTTGCCCAGCTTTGAACGCGGTGGACCATGAGCTGTTAAATCTGTATTTCATCCTGCCGCAAGTATAGTTGATAGCTTTAGATCACTAAAGCAAACAAAATTGAAAACGCATGGATGTTATCGTGCTTCACAGACCAATGTCCTTTCCATCACGTGCTGTGTCAGTAACAAGTTCTAACTTGCTTTTCCTGACGTCTGTGGCAGGTGTAACAAACATACGCATGGGCACGTCAGCATGCTGCCATCCTTGGTGCGACCCGAGCTCTCCTTTACATCCTAGAAACTTGGAATGACAATCATGTTCCTATCCCTAGGGTGCCTAGGAGTCCGTGGAAGTGCTGCATTTTACACAGTTTTGCACATTTCTGAGGTGGATGTTGAGTTTGGATTTAAAATACCTTCTGCGGAGTTTAGGTCCAAGAAACTAGTCTCTCGTGGAGGATTTGATAATTCCTAGCTGTCAGCTCCCACCTAAATTCAGGGTATTTCCCACCTAAATTCAGGGTATTTCCTTGCTGTATGTGCTAGAAGACAAAATTCACACATGGCTTTGGGGTGCTGCCAATTAGACCTGCAGTGATTTTATGAATGTATCTTACCTCTGGATTCACAGTTCAATAGGAGTACAGTTTTTCCAGGTCACCTTATAGCATTTGGATCTGAATCTTCTAGTCAATGGAATTTCCCAACTTCATTTCATATGGAGCCTAAAGGATTGTATGAGCAAAGAGCCAGAGGCCCCTGGGGTTTGAAGAAGTGCGACATCTTGTCTTGAACTTTGCAGAATGGCATTTTAAGACAGCCCACCCCTTTCCCCCTTAGAAAACCCATAAAGAACTTACACGATCAAGAGGTGGAGAGAAGCATCCTGGGGAGAGACAAAAAGAGAAAATAGAAATAAGTGAGATAAACGAGACCCAGTGTCTGTTAGGAACCTACCCCTGGGGTAAAGTTTGCAAAACATTTTAGTGCAATTCCTTAAACTCTTACGCCTTGAACCAGCCAAAGAAAAATATGAAGCACAGCATCTCAAGGCTAGACTTGTATATATGTAGCAAAGCCAATTCAATATACTGTGGATTTTATGAATATCTGATATCTTTTTCAGATTATATCTGAAACTCAGACATGTCTTGGTTTGCACGCGTGGCTTGGTGTTTAGTTATTTAGTATTCTATCTAGTCATCTTTTTCTACAAATATTTATTAAGCAAGTGCAGTGTAGAATGTACCGTGTTCCCCCAGGCATCTGTCAGGGAGAAGATGAGACAAAACTATCCACCCAGAAGTTGTTTACATTCCAGGGCATTCCCCGCTGAGAAATGTGCAGAGAACTAGGAATCTAGAATGCAGAAGGAGGAGGTGACTGTCTTGCGTATTCTGCTTTCTGTCAACTGGAGAAAAGAGAAATGATGCTAAGACTTGTTGAATGTTTCATCTTAGACCTGCTTTGGTAGGAGTTTGTCAGTGATCGTTAGATGATGCAGACACTTTGCATAAGTTGTAAGCATGACAGAGGGTTATCACTTGTCTTCAGAGTACTCTATAATGAAAGCATAGAAATGTAGGATGAGGGTTTAGTATCAGGCAATGCAAGAGTGGAACCAGCTTCTGTTTATTCTGCAATCCCGACAGCTAGTTGTAAAGCATTCTGTGTGTACTTAGCCATGCTGAGAGTTTTTGCAGTGCAGCAATTGGGAAGCAGGCTTTATTTCTTCCTCAAAAAGAGACATGAAGAGTACAGTACTTCCTGGCCACCAGAAAACTCCCAACTCTCTGCAAATACTTTGCAGATCCAATTACCATCTGTCCTGATTGGTTGGAGGCTTAAGTCTTACAATTCCAGACTCATTAAATATGAATTTCCAAAGCATGCTGAGCTAAAATTTCATTTCTGCTCTTTTAAGATCAGATTTTAATTTTATATACAATGTTTTTAAATTTTATATACAATCTCTTCTCTATATGTCTCAGCTAATTGAATGACTTAATTGAATGCTCTAATATTATTATTCCTGTTACATTCTAAAAGAACTCGCACAACAATAGCTGTAACCAGAATAAGTTGTTTTGCATTACAATGCAAATTGTGAGTTAAACATTAGCTATTCACACTGCATTAAAAACTTGTTTTAAGGAATTATGATACAATATCACTGTTCCCATTACATTTTAAAAAAACTCACAGACCACTTGTTGTAACCCCGGGTAACTTCTTTGCATTAAAATGGAAATTTTGAATTAAACATTTACTTTACAATGTATTAAAAATTGTTTCTTTAAACCTAGCGGTATAAATCACTGCTGAGACTTGCTGTTTGATGCATGTTGAAAATTGTCCCTTTAAATTTTGATGTCGGGACCAATGTTGTTAAAAACAACCCAATTTCGACTTAAGTTATATAAGGCTGAAATTTGTCTTCAGAGTAGGTCAGTAACCTGGCTGTGGGATTTTCTCTTTTCCCGTCTTTATCAGTACGTATAGGCTGTTACAAATTAATGGATTTCACTTTGGCAGATTCATATGGGTACATAACATGTATTACACCCTCACATGACCTCTCAGGCCCTGCCACCCCCTTTAGCCTCACATGTTGGGGTATACAATGTGTGTAATATGTTTTAATCACATGCATGGCTCTTGGCCTGCCCTTCCATCCCCTCCCCCTTCTTCCCTTCCTCTTGTCTATTAATGAAGACAGTTGGCATTGAGCCACGTCATGTTTTGCTCAGGGATGGAATGCGTGTGCATGAGTGTTCCCCTAATAGTACAGCATGGGATTTAGCAAACACAGCCATCCCAGGATTCATTCCCTCCTCAATGAGCTGTATTACCAAAGGTCCATGGATACCAGGCAACAACTGTCTGGAAGGCTGCTCAAGGTCCATTTACTATGTGTACCAATGAAGTATCCAGAGGCATCATTGCCATATAGATTATACTGCTTAGCACAAGCATGGCCATCTTGGTTTATCAAAGTTCATTCTACAGTGTTTGTAGACTGGTATCACTAAATACATGGACTTCAGAACATGCAGCCCTGGTTAAAAGATGTGTGGCTGCCATTTAAAGTGTTTTCCACAAACGTGTAGAAAGTTAGCATCGCCTAGGAAAAACATGGCGTTTAATCAAAGTATCATGCATTCCTGAGAAAGAAAGCTCCCGTGGAAGCTACAGAAATTAGTTCAGAAAATGTAGTCTTCCTTTCATCAAATTGGCAGGCTCTCACAAAACCTGCTGCATGTTTGATTCGAGTTTGCTGGAAATGTGGGGTTTTTTTCCTTGTGATTAGAAAAAAAAAATCTTCAAATTACCACGCAAAGCTGTAGGATAATAGAATTCATTCTAAAGGGATGTGGTTGCAGCCAGCTTTCTTGTTCAAAAGAAGAGATAAGCAATTGTTTTTTTAAAAAAAAATCAACATCACACTACCATAGCAGCAAAGAAAAAAACACTTTATGCACTACTTAAAATTCTCATTCAATTAAAAACTTAATTTTGCCTCTATTTGCACCGAATAAAAGCGAGATGCTTCTGAACACCGCTGGCTGTGGGTCCCACATCCTAGCCCGTGTGGAAAGACTGTGCTGATTTTTCCTCTTCATTCATAGTTTGGGTGGCTGCTGTTTCTGTGCGCTTCTGCATCTGATCACCACGAGTAGGCTTTTAAGGATCAGAAATAAAATATCAGAGCTGAATGAATCGGGCTTTAAGTTGGGACAGCGTTTTCACCTTGAAGCTCACTAAGAACATTGTACGGAAGATTTTTTCCTTTCCTACATCCGTCTTCCTTTCATGTTCCCTTGGTTCTTTTTTTTCCATTCCTCCCTCTTAACTCCTTTCTTTCCCTTCCTCCTTCCTTCTATCCTTCCTTCAATTCCCTCTGGCCTCCCTCCCTTCCCTGTCTCACCTTCGCTACCACTTTCCTCTCCTGCTTCATTTATTCTAGTCCAATCCATGCTGCGTTGCTGCAAGCCTGTGCCTTTAACCTATGCACCCACCCGTGCTTTTCTGTGCTCGCTGAGCTCAGTGGCAGTGAACACACAATCATAGCGACTCAAGATGAGTTTGTTGCAAGAAGGAAACACTGTGCTTTGGTGACCCAGGAGAAGGAGTGCCTTAGGAAATTAGAAGTGGTGTGCATGAGCTTATACAAATTGTATTTATTTTATGTTGTTGTTATTTAGACATCCACTAACAGGCTTCATCCCCCAACCATTCTTTCTCTTTCGTGGGGAGGAAAAAGCACTCCTGAATTAGTTTTGTTCTCTCCAGGAGAATCTGTGAAATGTATTTTCACATGAAATGGCACGTTACTGTACAAAACTTGTTAGACACTGTTTGGACTAGAGATTCACTTTGTAGCTAAAGTTTTAATATGTGTAAATGAAGATTAATGTCATGCGTAAAAAACACCGGTCAGTCAATTCCTTTTTTTAGAGAAAACACAGAAAAAAAAGTTAGAAATAATACAGGATTTCAAAAATAACAATAAGAAATCACTAGTTGATAAATTACATCTTGTTATCTTAGAAGTCGCTGCTCAAGTCACAAAATCAAAGCATGAAGTGGACAATCAAACAATGCCAGCACAAACCATTCTTTGGGTGGTTTTTCCCAATGCAATCTTTCTTCTTTATAGAGATAAAGAAAAAAATAGTCCTAATTAAATTTTCTTGACCATCCCGAAGTCTCAGC